ACTAAAACAACACTAATCAACGATCGTCAACAATACTTCTGACTGCAGTTCAATTACTCACTGTCTATCTACCCACCTTACATTCCCCTCTTTTATATATACCAGCCTACCCTATATCGAGTAATTACTAGAGCATTCCTGAAAGAACAAGATAGTTCTAGAAACTAGAGGGCGCCACAGTGGTCATGTGACTCGCTGACGCAACAGTATGTTAAGTTAAACTGATTGTGGAAATTAAGTGTATTGTAAAGTTGTATTGATAAAGAATAAACGTCAACTCTACTCTCATAAAAACAAAACTGATCTATCTATATATGATTTATAAACTATCTTCCTATAAGTGTTGATTCCACTCCATCATGAAAAAGCAGTTAATGGTTTATATCCACTTGTCTAAAGATTCTTGGTGCTAATAATTGTGCTAAACTGTGTTTGAATACGAAGAGATCAAAGTTTTTGTTCAGTGACATACCTTGAGGGCACTGAGAAGAATCTACCAAGCGAAGACTTTTTTTGTGTGTGTGTGGATAAAGCTGATTTTTACATACCATTCAGCAGTCTCTTTTCGGACATTTTGAGAGGGGAAAGAGGAGTGAATAGACTTTATGAGGCCAAAAATTTAGTTTAATGATAATACAATACTATAACTAAAACTAATCTCTACTGTTTGTTTTGAATTTCGCGCAAAGCTACACGAGGGCTATCTGCGCTAGCCTTCACCAATTTAGCAGTGTATGACTAGAGGGAAGGCAGCTAGTCATCACCAACTCTTGGGCTACCTTTTTACCAACGAATAGTGTGATTGACCGTCACATTATAATGCTCCTACGGCTGAAAGGGTGAGCATGTTTGGTGGGACGAGGATTAGAACCCGCGAGCCGCAGATTGCGATTCGAGCTCCCTAACCATCTGGCCGATCTCTACTAATGATAGACGTTACATTTCACAGGACCAAATCTTTAGTTTACTAAAATGCCATGAAAGTGGTGGTGGGGTGGATGGCTCTCGCTCACCAAGTATCAAACTAATCTCTATCGAAATCTGCTAAATATAGAGGCTATATTTCACCAAACCAATCTTTATTTACATTTGCTGAAGGTAGACTAAGAGGTTGTTTTTCACCAGGCCAGATATTACTGACACGCCCTGAAAGGGGAGGGATGACTCTATCTCACCATGTGCCAAAATAAATCTCTATTGAACGCACCTGAAGATGAAATTTGACTTTCAGGAAGCCAGAGATTTTTTTTACTAATATGTCCAAAAGTTGGGGTTTAGGTCTACCATGACAAGATGGCCAACTTCTTTTCTCTCAACTTTCTAGGTAAAATTCCAAATTTTCCAGATCTGCACCCACTGATATTCCAACTTTTCCTCATAGTTCAACCAAATTCATGCCATTGTAGCTTGTACTATAGTTATAAAAACTTCAGGCTACTGTACTACATAAAAAATATTTTTAAACAAGGATACTGTTGTATTTTTATTTATAAAAGAATATGTTGTCTAACCAAACATCGAATTTAATGAATGAAAGAATATCAGCCAAGAAAATAAAGTGACTGATTAAGGTTATGCAAAGTCTAGGAAAATGAGGGGGGAGGGGCTAAAGCACACAAACTTTTCAATTATGTTTTCCAGGTTAATTTTGCAATTTCCCCTGACTTTTTGACTGCCAAAACTTGTGTTTATTAAAATCTTCTAAATAGTGGAAGATGAATTTCTTAAGTTAAACCTTTTGTTTCCTATTTACATTTATTTATTTTGAATACTTTCTACCGAAATAATGAATTTTTTTTTTAAATTAGCACTTAAATACATTATATGTAGTTCAAAAGTTCGTCATGGTATGATTCATATAAAACTTGACTTTTACTTTAAAGGTTAGTATTTTCTTAAGAAACTAAAACAATAAGTATTTTAGTGATAAGTACTGTTAGACCAACATAAATTTTGTTTAAAGGAAAAATGTTGATGAATTTCATATGTGACTAAAATTAAATGGGTTTGTATATGGCACAGATATTTTGACAGTTTTATGACCTATGTAAGATTACAGAGGTTAAGTACATTTTACCAAAACAATTTGGGAGCCTCACCCTGTCATTACAATTTATGTCCTGTCATGCTCTAATGACCACGTATCTTAACAATAGTCTTAGAGCGCAGTTGCCCTTCTCAAAAGCAACCAAATCTCAGTGGCATTACACTACATATAAAATGTAGTTCTGATACATTCCATTCAACCACAACGTTATATTGTTTGTGGTTGTCACGTGACTGGCATATCCAAAATTGTTTTAATATAAAACAATTAACCACGTAGACTTCGAACACTGAAATCACTTTTCAAAAATACAAACTATGTAATCTCTCACCTCATTTACTTTGATTACAAACAAATATATCAAGTGAAATACCTAATTTAACCAGTTTTTCAGGATTTAAAACTTGATACCTCTAGTATCGAACAAATGTGAAATAATAGCAATTTATCGCCTTAAACATGGATCTCGGAATATTTAAAAAAATGTTGTGACTTCTGACACACTTTTATTCTGTTATATAAGTTCGTACAGCTTGCAATAATCAAATATAACATCTCCAACTTTCATTTTATAAAAACGATTAATACGTTTCCATCTGATGTTTCATCAAATTTTCACCATTAATATTTTTTTTTATATGCAATAAATCTAAGTTTGTAAATAATTATGTGTTAGAATTTACAGGTCTAAAGGACAAATGGTGTATCACTAACTATAAAAGGTTTATTCCCTTTGTCACTCTGTCGAGAACGTTTTCACGCTCCTTTTTTTGGTAATGCTCAACAATATACATCGTCGCTTAGCAACAACATTACCATCTGATTGTTCTTAGGCCAACTATGGTGTTTATGTTGAATGCTCAATATTAATGTTGATTTTTAAGAAAGGTTTGTTTTATTCTTTATAACTTTGGTGATATAACAGCAAAATAGTTTAATTCAGAAGTTTTATGACATTGAGTTGTAGACAAAAGCAAAATAAAATTTACCAAGTTGTGTTTCAGTTAAGCCTTACATTACGTTTATGTATCAAATTAGACTAAAAATAGGCCTAATATTATTAACGTTATAAAACCAGTGTTTAAAAAGTTTTAAGTGGTGAATAAATGATAATTAATAAATATTCTTTTGGTATTTTAACACATATATTACCTACGTGACCTTAAAACCTAAAGAAAAATAAACGTTTATTACTACCAAATATCTTTTATCTTTTGTACAGTCAAAAAGAGTTGAAAATTTGTGTGGGATGTCCATACTATGTTTTCTACTTCCTGACCTAGAATACAGTGAAAAGGCCCAAGAGTGCTATTTAAATCTCTTTCAAAGTGCACACTTACTTTTTTAGGATAACATTTCATTTTCCTGCATAGTTTTTACTAAAAATGTGATGATTAAAGCATAACTTCGAGACTGATGAAATATGTGAAGAGTAGGTGCATTTTAGAGGTACAAACAAATTAGTGTTAGTTAAATTATATAACCTCCGTTAATCATTCAACAATGGTTTCCCGTCAATTTTGAAGGGCGTTTATACTAGTAATATAATAAAAAGAGACATAGCAACAAATTCATAATTCACAGTGATTTTACAAAAGACTTTATTACTCCTTCTTCCAATATTTCAAAGTTATATCATTTCTAAATGTACAACTTATCCTATTTAACCAATTATATAATATTTATAAGCAGTTACATCATATCTATATATATTTCCAAATCCCTTATATTAAAAGACTATGTAAAATGTGCATCTCCCCAACAATTAGCTCACAATGTGTGACTACCTAAATCAAGTTCTTATATCATGTGTATAATGAGTTCTAGTCTTCATCAACAGTGTGTAATTGATGTTTAAATCAAGTTCTATTATATGCATTAACTAACATCATTAGTGTAAATAAGAATTAATAGATAAATATACATCAAGTTAAATATTTACATATATTCCTAAGTAAAGAAGTGAAAACAAAGTTTCTTAATGTACATGTACCTACAGTGTAGGTCTAACATGATATGTTCAGTGCTTGAGTGACAATTCTTTTTTTCAGCATATTCATTTAACGGAGACGAAAAGAGTGCATAAATTCTCCAGGTAACATCTATTTTTTATGAACATCTCACAATAACAAGTTTTTAACTTGCTCCGGAGTACGTGGTAAGAGTGACTGTGAGTCAGGATACCCATGGCTGGGATTGTGAACAGCATCATAGATGTTTTCGTACACTGAACACAAGAGCTCCATAGAACGTTGCCGCAGAGATTGCCTATTAGTTAGAGAAAAAATTAAAATGCTCTACAGTTGCATTATGCTTACTGCACTCACAATAACTAATGATATCTTTGAGAGAAATAAAATTTTCAAGTGATAATTCTAACAAACGAATGAAAATTTATAAAAATTAGCATACATTTATAATAAAAAATAAGTGAATAATGGGAATGACCTCACCGAAGTAAAGCTAGGTGAAAACTTTCTACCATTAAAAATTGGAACTTTCCATTGAAATTATAAGGAACTGTATTTAAAACAATCCAATAATAAGTTCTTTATGCATACTTTCTATAAAACAACCCAAAATTAAAAACAATTATCTTTTAATTTAATGTACAGTAGAACAATATAATCTGAATCAGAGAAAGCAAAAATTATTTAACCTTTTCATAAATATAATAATTTAATCCTATCCATACCTCAGAGCACATTTCAGGTGTTTAGTGTACACTTTAATATCAAATTTCAAACTTTAAGTAAAAATAACAACTCTAGCTCTGTTTCAACAGTTTTAAATATAGGTAAAACTGATAGTCATTTTGTAACACTTTTTTCATGTAATTTGCAATGAAAATTGAAAATAGTGTGTTTCATGTTTTATTTCTATCGAGATCTGAGGAGTCATACTTGTAAATAATGCACTTCAAGATTTTTTTACAAATTTTGTCTAAGAAACTATCATCTGTTGAGAACCCTTTCTCTGTTAATGAGTATATTACTAAAGCCTTTCATTACTGCCCTTTTATGATTCACAGCATATGGTGTGAAACATTACTAATGATGCACAGATAGAGCCAACATTTGAACCAGATTGTATAGTGCAGACTGTAAACTATTTATGTAGAGTAAATAGTGGCTGAGCAGTAATTTATTGTTTTTGGGGAAAGTGACTACCTGAAGCTCTTACACAGGTGAACAAGTAGGAAGTTTTGAAGAGATTGTAATAAATCACATTTCTGGATATTTTTTTTATAGTTTCTTTAGATGTTTTTTTTTTTCATCCATGAAAATAATTTTGTGTGAAATTATATATCTGTTTGAAAGCTTTGGAAAATTTATATTATGATTAGATGTAGTTAGTTTTAGTGAGTACAGTGGATGAAGACTCAATTTCTTATTTATTAAATATTATTGTTAACTTTATCAAATGGAAACAACACATGCAAATAAAGTAATTTATTAGTTATTGAAAAGAAACAATACTAATTCCATATAAATTGATCTTGATCAAGAATATCGTTAGCAAAAATATTGTTGCATAGCCTGAAACAAGTAATGGTGAATATCCCAGGTGGTTAAGGCGCTCGACTTGTAATCTGAGGGTCGCGGGTTCGAATCCCTGTCACACCAAACATGCTCGCCCTTTCAGCTATGGGAGCGTTATAATGTGACGGTCAATCCCACTATTCGTTGGTAAAAGAGTAGCCCAAGAGTTGGCGGTGGGTGGTGATGACTAGCTGCCTTCCCTCTAGTCTTACACTGCTAAATTAGGGACAGCTAGCGCAGATAGCCCTTGTTTAGCTTTGCGCAAAATTAAAAAACAACAACAAATGTCTTGTGTCTCTGAGGAAAATCAGATCCTAAGTCACTGAGAAGAAAAGCAGTATTTTTAATGTCTTTTTTGTAACTGGTCTCACAAGACATTTTTAGAAATTTCACAAACTAAAAAGTGATAGAAAAACTAAACAAAATAAAATGAAGTTTTTAAGCTAAAGCTATATACTATTTAGTAAACATCTCAGATGTTTCATGCAAGTTAGTCAGTAGTGACGCTATGAGAAGGAAGAAATAATGGGATAACACTAAGAGTCCTCTCATCTGGAAAGGGTTAATCAAACAAAAGAGAATTAAAGAGAAACATGAAACCAAGAATCCTGACAGGTGATATAACTTGGCATAAAACCTGTTGAGCTTCTCTGATGAAACAATACTTACTTTAAGGAGGCACTCAAAAGCAATGCACTCTGAGAGATGGTCAACGTGTCTGGTGAAGCAAGGAAACTGTCAAGTTGGCCCTGACAATAAAGGTAAAAATCCTTTGAATGACTAGTTATTCACAAATCCCATTAAATCTTCTACACTTCCTACAGGTAAAACAAAGCAAAACAATCATAAATCAAAACGTACTTATTCAACTTCCTGGAAGACATTTGACACAATCTTTTGATTTTATTCAAAAAAGAGATGAGTTTTAGCCATTTTGGTTTCTTTTTTCAAGCTTTCTGAGCTCGTTCAAAAAGGTATAATAATAAAAACTGTTGATTTTGAGATTTAATAAAAATCCTTACAAACTCACCACTGCTGACTGTATTGCAAAAGCATCACAACCAGAAAATGCTGATAAAGGTCCTTGCTTGGGTTGGTATTCCTGCAGAGCACTATACAGGGCACCCATTCCGAGGTGGCTAACAATATGGGAAGCCTGTTCACTAACCAGTGTGTCCATGTGGGCATCCAGCTATAATATAAACAGTTCATTAAATCATAGCTTGAGAGGATACTTTTGTTTTATCTGAAAAGTCTAGTTTAAAAACACAATACCAGCTAAACAACAAGTCTAAGCATTTGTTAACTTACATTTTTTCATACTTTGGTCAGCAACACTCTTCCTATTTATAAATTCTATTCAGATTTAACTATTGGATTTGTAACACTTCATATAATTATTAAACAGTCCTTGAACATACCACAGCCTGTAACAATCCCAACAATGTTTCCAATTCTGTGCAACATACCTGAGCATGTAACAATCACAACATACTTGAACCTGTAACAATCCTATCAAAATGTACCTGAGCCTGTAGCATTTCCAACTGCTTGTCAGTAAATTCAAAAAGGGCAAGAGTTGAGTGGATTATGTACATGCAGTTAGCCAAATAGACAGCCATGTCTGCTGGAGCCAGTTTTGAGGCTGAAACATGACACATCTGGAGCAGAGGCTCAACCACAGTGGACAGGATCTGTTAAAGTATAAGAGATAAAACATGAAATCCTTGATACATATGTTGAGAAATCTTAACACTTTTTTTCCATAAAAGTGTGTAAGCTACTTGACCAGCTTATAAACAATGCTTATAATGTACTTGAAATTATAATGACTCACAATACTTTAATTTATTGTTACAGTGTAGGTAACAAGAGTAGCATGTTCAGGATGTTGCAACGTGAACCACATATGTAATCAACATATTTAACACACACACACAGTTTTATTTTTGTTTCAAAAATATACATTTTACAACATTTTTGATTAAATTGAGATGAAGGATTATGTATCACTTAAATGTATTAACAGAATATACCAATAAAACAACTTGTATGATGTTAATAGCTAATTTTCTCGAAAAGGAACTTAAGTAGCAATTAAATAATAGTTTTAGGGGTGATAAATCAACTAATTACATAACCTTCATGTTAAGGGAGAGAGAGTAATACCTGCCACTTTTTTATCAAATGTTATTCAGTTTTAATCAGTTCACTGTAAATATATATAAATCATGAACAATATTAATTTCTTACTTTATTTTAACATGAAAATAAAATGTTATGAGGTGAGACAATATCTGAATATACAAAACAAATTTTAAGCACATGAAGAAAGATTTTACTTGTGGAACATCCTGTTTTCTGTCATCGACAGACACAAGGCATGCATCTTGGCAAGATAACACTTCTCGGAGCAAAGCTAGTGTTTGAATGAGGGCTTCTGTTGCTCCAAGATCAGCAGGTGGAAGTTCAACTCGTTCTAGCAGGCGATTACAGTGGCAAGTAAGGCTATTGTAAAAAATTTTCTGACTCAGAGTATAGATTTCCTTCAAGGTTGACAACAGCTGGGCTTCACCATTCAATACTTGTCTAGAGATATGTAAAAACTTAAAATTTAGAAGGAACTTGAATGGTACGTTGTACAAAAATATCTTTAAGGTTGGTTACACTGCTTTAGCTGACCTTAAAGGAATATAGGTAATGCAAGTTGCAACAGTAAGGTTATAAAAGTTCATTACAACTGTTGTCATGATTAGTAGCCTATACAACCACAAGTTTTCTTTGATCATTATTATTATTACTGATATCTTATTTTTAATCTGCTGCCTTATGGAATTAGAAGTCTTCTTTATCAACACAACTTACTTCCAACACAAAGGTAAATACTACTAACAACAAAGAGGCCTAGTGATGGGCTCACCACTATCACCAGTAATTAGTAATCTCAACAAGGACAATTTTGAAAAATAACACTCTCAAAACAGCACTCTAAGAATCAGGATTTAACTCCAGTATGTTAACAATACATTTGTAGTATGGTTACACACATATACACACACACAATTCATGAACTACCTGAACATACAACATACAGCAATATAATGCACCTCAGAAACAGAAGATATCAAACTCCCATTTCCAGACACAATGGTTACCAAGATATGTAGCCCATGGTAAATACGTCGACTACAGATCAAACCACCCTAGCAGTTAGAGATGGACATCATATACTACTTAGTTTCCAAATTTGTAAAATAGCTGTTAAGAAGGAAGAAAAACAACAAAAATATCACTACAAACTTCTTTGATATTGTACACCCCAAAATTCTGATAAAGAAAAAAAAAGAAGTTAAATATCAAGAATAAGAGAATACAAAAAATTAGATACATGGCCATATTCCCCTGCGAAAACATACAAATGATATGTAAATAGTATAAAGTCAGAACAGTATTCTGAAGTCACAACACGATATGACTGCAGTCAGTAAACATTAATTCACCTATAAAGACTCTATTGTAGAGCAAAAACACAATGCACAACATTCCTTGTGAATATGTAATCCAATACATTTAACTTTAAATTTTGTTTAATAACAGTATATGCTTGTCATATACCAAAATAAAGGGAAATAGATGCAGAATAATATTCTGCCAATGCCATACTCATAAGGCAAAAGAGAATAAACAAAATGTGGTGACAATACAAAAACAAATAAAATATTTATAAACACACACAGACTCACAAAGAAGGCAGCAAGATGATTTGTCTTCAGTCGTATTTTGACACCCAACACAGTAAGGTAATCCATGAATAATGAAGAGAGTCACTCCAATTACTAATCTTACAAGTGTCAGCCACTTTATAAAAATACTTGTCAATGTTATGTAATTCTGAAAAAAAAAAGCACAAAATGGTAAAAAGTGAAGACTGGAAGCTATGAGTACATCTGGCCAGGACAAGTCTATATAAACTATGTACAAAATGTCAAGCATCTTCCATTTACTCCAAATGTACTGAGGTGTGCCACACTTTGAAACTGTCCTTGGAGTGGAGATGTAACTTGCCCTCACAAACAAAATTTGGTCTTATTTTCTTTGCTGGAGTGCTACATACTTAGCATCTCCTGTCCTCAGCTGCATAAGCAATCGTGTTTAGTGTCTTCTAGTCTCTCAATAGCATTAGAGGTTCTAGGTCTTCCTGTGTTTGGTTTGGGTGTCTTCAGGCATGACATCAACTGTGGCACATGTAAGCTCATCAATGAGAGACAGCTTGAACTTTTTGAGGGTGAGGCTGCTTTTTATTTTTTTGTCAGTTGCTGGCCTTGTAAGGCAGTACAAGATATGGGCATTCACACACACAATTTCCATTAGCTAGTGAAAAATGTTTTCCCACCATTTTTGGGTTTTATGTGTATGTGCAGTCCATAATAGCCAATCATTTAGTTCACATGGTCACAACCATTGACACTCATATTGTACTCATCTACTGCAAAGGGTTTTGTCTTTCCTTTTCTGACCACATCCTCTGCCTGTGTTTGTGGAGATGAAGAAAACAGGTTTTTTAACCTTTTTGTCCCTCCAAGCAATGCATAAGATCTTACTGTCCTCTGTTATCCAGTACTCACTTTCCATGTGGGTCAAATTGAGAGTCAAGGCTACAGGGAAACCAATCCTGTTTGCCTACACTGTTCCTGTGTAGTAGTAGCCACTGTGAATGAGATGGTCATGTAGGGCTCTTGCTTTGCACCATCTGTCTGCATATATATGGTATCCAGTGCAGATGAACTTTAACAGGGTGTCAAAAAGGGGTCATATGACGTGTCAATTCCATAGATGAGAAGATGTATTGTTTGTATTTCCATGAAAAATTTCCATCCAATAATCATTTCATCAATGGAAACATTTTAAAATGGTGAGAAGGTGTCACTGAATTTCTGGACAATGGTGTTTGCACAGGATTCGATTTTCTTTTTCCCTTCAGCATCAAGAGTATCCACATAAAGCATTGTTAAAAGTAAATAACCTCAAACCTCTCTGTGTTGAACATTTGATGATAGAATGGTGTGTAGAGAGACTGTTGGGTGGCAAAGTAGTCTTGAATGCTAGGTTGTTTGTTGATGCCCATTGTTGTTGTCATAACAAGAAACTTCAGCAGCTCATAGTGGGTAAAGGAAATGAGTGAGTCAAATTCAAATACCTCGACCATTTCTGAGTTGGCATTTTCTTTGCAACTTGTGCTTTGGCATACTCATTGATAGCAGTCAAGGAGCATTAAGTTATCATTGATGTCAGCATGTACACTAGGATCATGCCTGTTTATTGGCAAAAGCTCAAAGTCATTACTTGTGGCTTACAGATCTACCTCAGCCCAATCATTACCTCTGGCTCTGGTAGTGGACATAGATCTAAAAGGCAGGTCAGGTCTAGATGGGGCTCACTTTCATGGCCTCTTTGTACCACTAGATCCTGGTTGGGGCAATACCTCCTCTGATCAACTGATTGAGAAGCACTGGAACTGGGTCTCGATGACTGTTCTGAATCACTTTCATCACTAGAATCTTTTCCAAAGTCAAATTCAAGATCAGACTCACAACTGTCATCACTTGCTCAGCAGTACAACATTTCAGTGGCCTCTTTCCACTTGTCATATTTGTTTTACAATTGATGTAAACAAATTGTTAGACTTCACAAGGAAACATGAAAAAAATCAGTTTCAAACAAAATTTGTTAATCTGGAATTTATTTCAAAACAAACAACAATGCTTCACAGAATTTCTGATCTATTTACATAAGGTGAATAATAACATGGTTTGGATTAGTTTTCAGCCAAACAGACATAAATGTTATCAGACACTGCCACCGTCTGATGGGTAGATCAGGATTTTTGGCTGGATGTTGGCAGTGTACACTCAAGTGTAAGGAGTTAAGAAAGAAAAAGACTAACAAAAACTAGGATCCAGGAGCATAAAAGACAATACAAACATGACTAAGTAATATTAATTTATTTGCAACAGCCATTATATCATACCTCAACCATACAACAAAATGGAATAATGCTAAAATAATGGAATATGAACAACATGAAAGATAAAAATAGCTTTATACATCTAGCTAATTTCTAACATATTTACTCAACGTAGCACAAAAGTCAGTAAAACATGGATAACCCTATTGGAACCATATATATATATATATATATATATATATATATATAAATATATAGGTAGTTGATTAAAATACTAATACAGGGTACTCTGCACGAGAGGACAGCACACCAGACTTTCTAACAAGATTCAGAATCAAATACCAGCCTCTGCCACCACATACAGTCTTTCTCAGAACTGTTTGTTATTAAGTGCAAAGCTACACAATGGGCTCTATCAACTGTAGGACTACTTTTCATGATTTCTTTGAAAATTAGAACAGATTATCAGCCAAAATGTACAATATAAGCTAATTCATAATTTGTTTCTAATAACAAAAATTAATAAACAGTACCTAATTAATAATTACACAAAGGTGATCTTATAAAGTACTAACCATGACAATAAGATGTTAAGTACCTCAGCAATCTTTTCAATAAATATGTTGAAAAGTTATATTAATACAAAGAACCATGAATCTATATCTCAGTAAACATTCTTAATAAATGTCGACAATATATTTTAACAGTTTTTTCCCACGTTAATTAGAACAGCTATGATCTTAATTATTATTGCTTATAGGCACTGTTGTAACAATGAAACTCAAATTATATTAACTGGTTTATAATGCTATAGAAATATGTGCTGCATGTGCATAACAAAACGTTTTTATTATTTACTTTATAATTATTTTCCATTACTTTGGTTTTAGTTATACGTGTCTCTGGTGAAAAAAGTTCCTTTTAAAACCAATAAGACAAAATGTAAAATAAAATCTTAGACAGTGGAGATGGATGTCATCATTTTAAAAAATAAACGTTTTATTTATTTATTTATTTATTCTGATTTAAAATTTCTTGTTTCAAGTTTAATTTTCTCCTTCCTTAAACACCAAAGTTTTCAGATATGTATAACAAAAAACAAACAAACAAGCTTGACAGCCATTATGTCCATAGCAAGCAAATTTCATATAAACTGAAAATAATTACCAGTTAAAAACACAAATATATCTACGTAAAAGTAACCTAACACTCTCCACAAGAATTGTAGTGACTGTTTTTACCCAATAGTATGATGGTAAAACTTCAAAAGACTTGTTAGACGAAACAAAACAACGTCTCCAGGTTCAGATGTGATTACTTGTTCTACTCTCATTTTCAAGGGTCTGCAAAGACCTTCTGTGATGTGTGACAGAGTCTGCTGTTTCTCTTCATCAAGACCTGTAGAGTATTTAACTTGAAAAGTATTACATATATATATAAAAAATATTAAGTACTTTAACAAGTCTTCTCAACAACAACAAATGCTACTCTAGAATTACTTAAACTTCTAAGATTATGAGAAATAAAGCATTTCTTTCTTTAAGGTTACTTTAAAAAGTTTTAATATGTAAACTGTTCTTTTTTTTGCTTCATAATGCCTAAGCAAGATGCTGGTATCTTATAGTTAGAATCTGAATAATAAAAGTATATCAGCATGTACTTGTGTTCTTGTTGAAACACCATTGTGCAGAAAAGTATTTTTTACAAAAAGTTCTTAAGTAACTAAAACCTCTATTACTAAAGACAATTTCACTGGTGAATCATTATAGTTATTTATTACTTAGAATTAATTATTAATTATTAAAAACTTAGACCGTTCAACTGTAATTACGTTGCTGTAATGTTAGTCAGTGAGAATTTTGAATTTTTTTCAAATCTTTGTAATATTTTGATCCACACTCAGAAATAATTCTGAACCTTTAACCAAAAGTACTGTAAAATTTCTCAGTAAGAATTCTGAACATTTACTAAAAAACACTTTAAGATTTAATTTTCAAGAACTGAGAAACAATGAAAACTTAGTATTACAAACTTCTACTGCATACAGTGAAAAGTCATCATTAAAAGTGACACAAACATTTGCTCATCTACTATTGTCAATGTTTATTAACCACATTAAAAATTTACTCTGTAAGTACAGTGAATACTTAAGTATTTTGAATATTCACACATTAATGATGTAAACATTTGGTTGGTAAATATTAAGAATATATACTTAAGAAATGCTATGAATCTTTGGGCAGTTAATATGTGATCATTTCCTTACAAAACTCAATGAATATTATATCATTTGCACTGTTAATATTTATTTAGTGGTGAGAACAACTGAACATTTATTTGAAGAGTGCTAGATGACTTTACTGTTGCCAGGTGTTTCTAAACAGTGAAATATGATCATTTAAGTTAACAGTTAAACAAAAACATACCTTCTTTTGCACATTTTTTTAGAAGTGCCTCTATCATTTCTTTTTCAGAAGCTGTGGTTTGATGCAGCCAGGCAAGCATGTCTCCAGTATATCGCAGAGGATCATGGGAATGTAATTCAATAGGTCTAGGCATTCCTCCTGGACCTAGCTTAAGAACGTTTGTAATTAAACAACAAAAATTGAAGGACTGATTTCACTTACAATAAAGATTGGTATTTTTTTAAGAGCTTATAAATAATAAATGTACTACTAACCTTTAAATTGTAAGTACACATTAAACATTCAGGAAAAATTTCTACTAAATACATGAAAAGTCAGTAGGTAAAAGTGATGTAAACATGTACTTTTTAAATGTGTAAATAAGCATTTACTCAGTTACTACTATGAACATCTATCAAATGTACTTAACATTTACTCTGAGTACTGTAAATACTTATTCATTAAATACTGTGAATATTCACACAATAATTAGTGTAAGCACTACTTCAGTGATTATTACCGGCATATACTGAGTGAGTATCCATAGAAATCACAGCCAAAGAATTTGGTTTGAAAAAATTATTTGTGTATGTGTGTACATAAACTTTATTTATATATTCATATATAAATTGGTAATTTTCAGCCAGATAATGTACATAATGTACAAAGTATATACAAGGCTAACTATAATAGTAGATAGAAAATTTAAAAAGTTTCACTTCACTCCTCGTGGAATGATCTATATTTAATTAACAAATTATATGGTAGCCTCACCTCCTCTTGTTAAGGCATCAATAAATCCTCGAACTACTGCTGCCCTACGAGCAGTACCATATTCATCTAAGCAATACTTGAACAACACAGAACGATCCTGAAGACTCTCAAAGGCCTGACACACTAGAGGGTTGAGATCTGATGTCTCAAAGTTTAACAATCGACACTCACCTATAAACAAACAAATTATCAAAATAAAAATATTTCACATAACTTAAAATCATGTCTTTAATCATAAATTATGTTAGAAAACCTATTCTACAATTTCATTTCACCTATCTGTCAAAAATTATTAAGATAATGTTTCCAATGAATCATCTGAAACCACAATAACAATTTCAACCTGTTACTTTCATGCATGTTAACACCATGTGAACAGATGGGTGTCAATGTGCACATGCCACAACCTGTTACAGTGTGCAATTCAACAAGGTTTTTACTATGTATTCAATGTCACGATTGTCAACTGTTTATTTTATTCTATGTTGCATATTTAGTGACAGTTCATGGTAGAGTAAATACCAGATAGAATATACATGGGATACTGTAAAAATTTTAGATATGCATTTTGGAGGTTCTAGATGTAATGCAAGTACAATATGCAAACTTTACATAAACATCACCTTGCAACCTTGCACTCCGACTTCTCAATTCACAGACATATCTCAAGGACAAATACTTTGTAAAACATCTGAGTTTTTGTGTACAACAGGCTTGTACATTTTACTAAAAGCTTTTCACATTTCATATAGGCGCATGTAGTAACTTTAAATTATAGTCAACATTCTTTCTCTAATATGGGGTTGGTCCACTGGACCAGCGCATGTTTGGTTAAAGGAAACCTGTGTATTCTCACATACATTATATTACTTAACAAGAACAGTTTTTCAGAAAGTCAAAATAAATATTCACAAACATAAATCTGGTTAGTGTTCATTAAACTCTAAAAGTGAATTCTGAGATTTTACTTAAAAACCACAACATTAACCAGAAATTAATATCAATGGTTCAAGTTTGCTTTATCTATAGAGGAACTTTATACGGCTTCTTACCCAGGTGAAGCAGTCCAGTGACTGACAACCACATTTCAGTCAAAGAAACTTAATATCTGTTTGGAGTTTAAAATATATATACAAGACACTAGATGACATTTGGAATGAAATTATAGAGAATTTGAATAAACAGTGCACCATTTGAAAGCTAAAGCATCTGTTTCAGTTGGCTTGCCAACAGTCTACCAAAATGGTTGCATAGATTCATTATATCCGATAGAGTAAAAGAAAAAACAAAGCAAATGATCCACAATGAAGTAAAAGACCAGCATTTCAGAGAAACTTAGGATTAAGAATTTCTAATCTTCAGATTTTATTGAGCCAAGAACAAACCAGAATCTGTCATTCAGGTTATAGTTTTTTCAATCAACTTTAAGAGATTTGTGTGCTAAAGGCCTTGAAAAGAAAGCAGTGGATATGGTAATAGCAGTGCTTATAAAAGTAGTGGTTGTGGTAGTGCCGAGATGTTGATCGTGATAATGAATGTTTTTTGTGAATTCTCATGTATTGGAAGAGGAAAAAATGATATTACTAAAATATTCTCTGGTGCCTAAAAACGTTGATGACTGTGCCCAGGTGGCACTTAAGATATTATTATGTGCACTGCCTAAGCAACTGTTAAACAAGAAAAATGTTTTCTTAATGAGGAAAAAAACCCATTTGCCAATATTAAGACCTAAAATTTTATAAAAAGCACAAAATTACATCATCACTGTTTATATAGCTGATATAGATATCTATCAAAGTTAAGAAAAAAAAACAACTACTTAATTTGCTCAGCAACCTTGCCTTGAATGAAAAATACATTGTGAAAAAAAATGCAATTTCAGATAAAACAAAGATTCAACAGAATAGTATCAGTTTGTTTGAAAGGGCAATAATTTTTGGTAACAACAGGAATAAAGCCAATGACCCTTGAATCACAAGGTAATGACCCCTAATCACAGGCTATATTAGCCTTAATAATAATGAAAAATCACAATGGAAATATTTTGATTATATAAATAGTTGGAATAACTGAAGACAGTAATAATCAGAACACAAATATTGATTAGTTAACTATTTTTCTGACATGAATCAATGTAATCTTAATTTAAAAAATCAATAATCTTATGTGATACTAATCAGTGTATTCAATGCTCACAGGTAAATAATTATATTGATAAATTAATTTAATTACTCGTGTAAAACAACTTTCATGTTCAAAAATTACTTTTTGAGACTTATAAGCATAAACTTCATTATCACAAGATGGTTAGAACACCTACAATTTAATGACTGCTATTTTTATTATATTAAATAAAATATCTTAAAACAAATAATAATAAACACAATATAAGATCTTTAATTATCATTTATTACACTAGAGACCCAGCATGGCCAAGTAGTTAGGAAGCTTGACTCGCAATCTGAGGGTCGCGTGTTTGAATCCCCATCCCACCAAACATGTTCACCCTTTCAACCATGGGAACATTATAATGTGACAGACAATTCCACTATTCATTGCTAAAAGAGTAGCCCAAGAGTTGGCGGTGGGTGGTGATGTCTAGCTGCCTTCCCTCTAGTCTTTCACTGCTAAATTAGGGAAGGATAGCACAGATAGCCCTCATGTAGCTTTGTGTGAAATTTGAAAACAAACTAACAAACCCTTTCATTAACATCACTTATACACTTTTTCATCTAAAATTCAGTTGCCACACCTGCCAAAACCCAGAGAAATATAGTGCAGAACTTGGTAGGAATTTCCCCACTTATGTTTTTGACCCTAATATTTCATCACGTTTTCAGGGGCTACAGTATAGAATGTGCTTGCAAACAATTTTGTTGCATCTAAAATTGATTTTTATGAGACCATCAGTATGAGATTCACCAACAAAAGTCTTAACTGCTGTTGCTTTGGCAACCTCATTCTTATTCACAAATGGTTCATTTGTAGTTGTGCTGTTCATTGTACCAAACACAATATGTTTTGTTCAACATATTCTATGGTATTCTAACCATATTCTAGAAAATATATTTTATCAACAAGAAGAAAATATGAGAATCTGATACCCACCTTGTGTCCAGCGATACAATCTCTCATAAGCTGCTTCTTGGTGCAGTGCCATAGATTCCATTATCTCAAGCCTATGATGAAGAAAAAGATAACTAACAGAAGAACAACACAACTTTTAATACTACTGCGAAATGTAAATATACATTAGATGAAAACACAATTAAGGAAAGTTAATATAACAAAATGGATTTTTCACTAAAATTATTCATGAAACTGACTAGCCTCTTAATTTTCATCCTATCATATCAATAGAAGATATTTTCTAACACCAACCACATATCATCTTGGGCAACATATACTGATTTGTGTGATATGGTTACATTGATGTTTATTATATATATATATATATATATATATATAGTTACCAAAAAATGTTACTTATAAGAGACACGTAGCACAAGCTGTTACTCTAAGGTTTTTTTAGTTAATAGTAAATATTTCATTTTACATAGGAGCACTACAGTGGCAATAAATGCTAGAATTATAAAAACAAAATTTCATGATCATTACCTTAAAATAACGAAATTTAAGAACAATCTTACATTGCATCTATTTATACAAAGTTTTGTTAGTTATTATGATGCTGCTTATTAGAAAAAAACCCATAAAATCAACAGGTGTGTGTACATTTGTCTAGTAATTTGTTTTAACTCTTTCAGCATGGGTTCGGTCCATGGGACCAACCTCGTAACGATTTTATGATTGTTATAGTTTTCATACTATAACTTTGAAATTAGTAAGCGTATGTTCACGAAATTTGGCAGATTAACAGTAAACATTACAATGCTTTCATACACAAAATATCAAATTTTTTATTATGATTTAAGGTATGTAAAGCAATGTTTTTCTCATGCCTTATTTTTCTTTTTGCAAGTTGCCTATCCAACATGTAAAGTAATTTTCATTTTAAGATTAAAAATACTTTTATGCATCAGACAATTTTCAAATTTTTATAATGTCCAGATAGTTATCAAATGTTTCTTAAGAGAAAACTTTATATTTTATTTATTATTTTCAGTAACGAATCTCTGTACGGGTTCAGTCAATTTGACCGATCTTGTAACCACCATAAAAAAATTATGGAATGAATATAAATTATGGCTCTTTCGTTCTAGAATGACAACAAATTATAACACGAAAACAAATGTTTAGACTAAATAGCTTAAATGTCATAACATTATAAATTTATATATATAAATTATTTTTATTATATTGACCTTTCACCTGTGCCTAGCTAACAATACAGAAGTTACAATACTGAGGCACAAGTGCACTCATGTTACCATATCCAATGGTATAAACTGATCTTTAGTCTTTACAAAGTGACCTGTCTTAGCTGTGTTTTAGTAGACTAGTATTTTGTAAAATACAGTCACATTTCAATCATTATACATTATATATGTATATAGATTATTACTATTTAGAAATAAGTTCTTAAACTCATTTTTCTTAAACATAGAATAGTAAATAACAAAGTAAAGCAAACAATTATCTCTTCTAGTTAAGACCTTTGTACTTGGTTGCTTCTTAACAGAGGTTGATATGCCTTTTAGAATTTTGCATGTGGAGAATATGAAACGAAATAATTTGGTATAGGTTTTATATATACAGTTGAATAACCAAAAAATCATAAATTACTATACTGATACCACAGAATTCTACTATAATTTATCAATTATCAAGCTTAGTAACTAAGCTGCATTTAGATCTAAAAAAATACGAAATTTCAAGCAGACTAAAGGCACAACCTATCTCCTTGAAATCTTGGTTCAAAAGAAAGAGATGGCTTCCAAACATGTTAAAATGGCTAAGAAAGCCACTAGGGGGACATTCTGAGCTTTTGATTGGTTATTCATGTCGTATATAGTGAGTGGTGTACTTAAGGGAGCATTTGCAAAAATAGAAAGAGGTGGTTGGGGTACCACTGTGTTTGATTTATTACATAAGTAATATCTTGGCAAATACAAACGATAAAGAGGTTCTTATTTTATATCCTAGCTTGTCAATATTGGTAATTTGAGTTTCTAATTCGTACAAAACTATAGACACCTAATTTGAACCAGTGCTGCATTCAACATACCACAAAATCGATGTTTAATTGTGTTTTTTTAATATTTACTTTTAAATTAAAAAATTAAGTAATGTATAATATTAAATTTGAATTATAATCTACAGTTTGATACCAAAGTTACTGACATAAATTCATGAAATAGTAGTTCAGTAAAATTTGAATGCAAATCAATAAATGCAATGACATGGCCTTTCACCCGTGACTCATCTGGAAAGGGTTAAAGAACAGTTATACAGAACTGTCACCATTCAAATATCTAACAAACCACATGTTATTACCACCAACACAAGCATGGAATAGTTGTGTTGTTAATCATTAAGTAAATAAAAAAACTGTCTAGTCATACTACAGAAAGACAATAGTAGAAGCAACAGTAGTGAATTTCAACAATATTGAAACAGAAAACAAGTAAACATTATATGAAAAGAAAAAATTAGCACATAATACTGCAAAATTATTTTTATTCCCCCACAAAGAAGAATTGTACAATGGGGCATATGGTTTGACCCCTCTGTGTCTGTTCCAATCTTGTGGATAGGATATCTCAAGTTTAGATAGATAGATTTTGACCACACTTATAAAACATGTAACACAGAAATTTCTAACCATAATTAGCTTTTGAAGGTTATAGGTCAAAGTTTTTTGTACAAAGTTCTAAGCCTTAAAACTTTTGACGGTCAGAAGTCATGAACAAAAGGTAACTATTATAAAGAAAATCCAACCCAATTCTGTAGACATCATCAAATTGTATGGGGGGGAGGACTTAAACATAAAGTATAACAGTAGTAGAGGTATAAATGTTTCATAAAACCAACTTACACTTGTTAACACAGACTTATGCAATTCTTAAATGGAAAACTTACAATAATGTGATATTGCTACAAAAATGTAACTTTCTATAATAAAGTTAAAACACCTGATTAATCATTTTAAATATTTTAACATTTATTTTGTACAAAAACAATTGACAATAAGAGACTGTGTTTATTTTCTAAGCTACAACTTTTTTTGTTTAAATAAAAAATTATACAAAGAGAATTCCACAGTGCTTATTTCTTCCATATAGTTTTTATATGTTTATTAATCATTGAATTATTTTTATCTACTTATAAATTGTGAACACACAAATAATTCATAAACTATACAAAAACTAAGATCTTTGAAATTACTGATTATAGATGTGAGTGACAAATTTGTGCAACTTCAGTCATATACTAAGCTACAACAGTTATTAGAGCAACATAAATATAGTTAACAAGAAAAAGTACCCATCCCCAGTGATGGGAAAAGTTTAACTTAATCTATCAATTTAAATTATTTCATGGACTTTAAAAAGGTTAATTCTGTTGCACACTTCATTTCAGTCAGAGACAAAGCTCTGAGCTACATATAACTCCCACCGCGAAACGTAATTGTTAAACATTTCAATCATGTTAAGAGCCGATCAACAATAACATATGGTAAATCTACATTTTTATTCTTTCAGTTACATCACATTTTGAAATGTGAATGATAGTGTGATTAATTCCTAACAATTTAGTGTAGAATATCTTGCTTGCCAAATAAAATTTGGCATCAACATTATTGATGCTCGTTTTCCTGTCATTTCAAAAATAAATGTTGAGCTTCGCCTACATGCACAGCTTTTCAAATGGGAGACAGACAAATGCTCAAACATCACAGTTCGCAATATATATATAAGATGTACAATGGTGTAATGCAGAAAATAAAATAAATGTCTTGTGAGAAATCATGCCTAAGGTTTTATTTACATTCACAATTTCCTAGAGTACCTGAGATAGACTTTAATTTTGGATTACTTTTTGCTATGCTTACTTGCAAGTTGTGACAATGAAAGAGCAGAAAAACAAAAAAATTTATGGCACATTTCTCTTTTTTCAAAGGCTTTTCTCTTATATCTTACTCTCTAATTAATAAACATTAAAAGTAATTAACAAATTTCCAAAAGTTTGAAATTACACCTACTCACACACTAACACTAGTCAAAGCAGGAAAGGTTTAAATGCAACTTTTTGTTGATTAGAGAGGGGTGTCATTGATATCCCTTGATTTTTTTCCTTCTTACTGTGCCTGAAACTTATAACAATGTAACTAAATAGTATCCTATTATTTGATATAGTTTTTCTATCATATTTTGTTGGAAAATTTTCCAAATTTTTGTTGCAAGACACTTTTTTTTAAAAAAAACTTAAAATATACTTCCTTTTACTTTAGAATTTCAATTTTTTTACTGTTGGTCAGAAAGTTCCATTTTATATATCCGGTAACTACTTCCACCAAAAAAAAAATCATCTCATGACAAAGATGTGTCGATGACCTAAGACCTGACCTTTAAAAATGGCATTAGGTCAGGCTAGGTAGCAATATTCTTAGTGGAGATCAATTTATGTCTAATAAATATAGATTCTTTTAAATAAACAATAAGTTCCTTTATTTATGGGCATTGTTAAATATAATAAACTCAAGAATAATATTCAATAAATATGTATTTGATGCAATAGAATATTTTGGCATCGCCTATCATACTTGTAAAGCTAACTAAATTTATTATCTGAACTTTTTATGAATGAAAGTTCCTGTAACTTTCAAACATTAACAAATATAAAACAACTTTAGGAATTAAAAGAACATCTAAAGAACCTATGAAACATTTCCAGGCCTGTGGTTTGTTCTTAAATTTTCTAAATTCCCATCATAACCTATTGTTTCATCCTTACAAAATCTAGGTCTTATCACTTTTCCACAAAGCCAAAAATTACTTCTCATGCCACTTTTTTTACACTACATTGACATAAATAGTTTAAAATCTACTCTTTCCTATTGTATTTATTTCCAAAGCTGGGCTTCTTTAGAAATTGTTTAGATTGCACAATATGAAATCATAATAAAATTGTAGGAACAAGAAGCTACACAAAATAAAATCAGTGGAAAAGAAGGAAAATTATGTGAGAAATGTAACATGAATAACTGTATTCTCAAGAGACCAAATCTTCTTATTAATTATACACCTATGCTATGGGGTTGGCATAAAAAAAAAATTATAAGTTTTGTTTATAGATTCCTTGGAGCTGCAGAAGAATGTATACCCAAGTGTTTTTCTTTGCTAATTACACTAAATAAATGTTATAAAATGACAAAATATAAATTAAAAATTATTTTTAGTTAAAAATTGTTGAAATAGCATTAAAAGTAAAATTTTTGCTTCAATATTTTTTTATATTTTTGGATTGCATGTGTGCATTCAACACTTAAGAGGTGCTAACTGTTTGTGATTTAAATCCATTTAAAAAAAATCAGTTTTTAAAGCAGAAAATATTTAATGTGCAAAATAAAAAATACACTAACCATACTCCAAACATGGTAAGCAGATTTGATTTTTTAATTATATTAGCACCATCAAACATATTTTATAAAAGGCTGTGAGTGCAGATGGACATTTATTGTTTTTAATGGAAAGTTTAATACTAATTACTTTGAAGTTTGAAACTTATTTTTCTTTATTAGAAACATTTGCTGACTAATAAAGGTACTTTTTAAATTAATAATAATGATTATTAGAATGAGGTTATCAAATATTTAATGTAATTGAGTATATATCTGACATTACATAAGACAATGTTTGTAGATGATTATTTTGCATTCAAATGCAAAATTAAATCCTTTTTTTTTCTATTTCCAACTTCTTTTTTCACTTATGATATCATTTAATGCTTATTTAATTCTTCTACAAATGAAAATTTTAATAAATGTAAATGCTTCATTATTAGTTACAAAATAGTTTTGACCAAATTTTATTGCCAATAAAAATTCAATCCTGATGCAAGCTTAAAGAAAAAAAAAATAGACAAAAATCAGACATCAATAGTTGAATTTGTGGTTTACAGTTATAAGCACAAATGCAGCTTATGCATGTTATGTGTCTTATACTTAAAATGGTACATACATAACACTTTAAAGTTCCTTACTACAGGCCTGTATGCAAAATGTTTGGAAGGGGTTCTAATTTGTGTGATCAAAAGCCTACACATATTATGTGAAACACAATCAGCATGCAAAGGATACTATGGGAGTTTGAAAGCATGCAACTATTTCAAGCCAAACAATGCTAATGCTTCATCAGAAGAATGTAAACTGTGTATAAAACATTAAATACCATAACCAGCTGCACTATAACTATACAAACATATTTTTTTTACATCACAAAAAATAGGGATTTTTGCTAAACCCCCCTCAAACTCCTCCTGCATAGATGCATGTAATGAATCTATTTCTGCTCATACATGTATATATAAATATATAAGAATTAAATTCATTAATGTTGTAAAATGTTTGTGGCAAACATAAGCTGCACTTAATACAATTTGTGAAATGCTTGGAATTGCCAGATAAGTCTCTCATTTGCAACATATTAAAGTTGCTTTATAAGCATCCAATAAACATTTGCATGAATAATTCACAAACAATCTTCCATCACATCAATGCTGTAAAATAATGAATGTTAAACTATAAATTGTTCACTATTATAGCTAATTTTATACTACTGTTTATCACATCTGAATTTATTATACAAAATATAAGAACCGAAACAAACAATATAACTCAATTAATATTACTCCCTATGTACAGCAGTCATACTGAATACCTTACCCTGCTGTTTGTTTATTGCTTCTCAAAAGAACTTTGCAATCCTTGTGTATCCTTTTAACTTTAGCTAAGACCTTGAAAAAGTTCTGAAAGATGAAAATAAGGTAAGAACTGAAAATATACGCAATAAGTTCAAAGCTGTTTAAAGCTCTATACAAATGTTTTGAAAATCACAAAACTCACATTTCTCAATACAAATTTTTTCATCATAAAACCAAACTTAGAAAATCTATCACTTTGACAAGTCCTAAAATCTCAAAATGCTTTGCAAAACTTCAGTTCATTCTTATCAGAATTTCCTGCTTATACTCATTCTTATCAGAATTTCCTGCTTATACTCATTCTTTATTCAAAACTTAGTACTTGAGCTTACAATATTAGCCTCCCACACCTTATGTTCTTAATAATATATTTTAAAAGGTTATATTTCACCTATTAAATATATCTTTTGTTTGTATAAAGCCACATCAAAGACACTGTGCAGCCTTTTTTACCAGAAATCGATATTGAACCAATAATTTAAATTAATATCAATATATTGTAATTTCTTATACATATATCATTACTAAATTTCATTTTACATTGTTTAAGGTGATCTGTGCCACAAAACAAAAATAGAATTATCTTTGTTTATTTCTATGTTTAAAAAAAAGTTACATATATCTTCACATTTTCAAATTTAAAATGAATTTCAAACAAGAACTTACCTCTTAAATAATGTGAATCTTTCCTGGTTGAATTTGCATTCATGCTGTCAAAAGACATTACTAAAAATTCTGAATGTCCTTTGACATTTTGCAGAACATGGATCACTTACCATAATTCTCCACTATACCACCTTCCACATGACTAATTGTACATGCATCTTAAGAATTTGCACAAGCAATGCTTTCTCACTATAATTTAGATTTTTGAAAGCTGCAGTTGAGTGGGGAAGCAGTAGGGAAAGTATTTCAGAGATGAGTACCTTTTTGAAATTCACTTTATTTCTAAAAATGTAAAATTTAAATAAGGTAGACTTACCTATGAATTACTGTAAGCCAGATAACCCACTTTGAAAAAGATGTGGGAACCAGTGAGAGAGAATATGAAACAGAAAAACTATAAAGTTAGAAGACTATGATAAAAATATAGCCAAGCAGAGCCAGAGCCAGATAAAAATTTGAAGAACTGGATTCATGGGAGAATGAGTGGAACATACCAGCCTTATAGAAAGATTGGACCTAAAGACTCTGATAAATAATGCATTCTTCTCAGCAGTGTACCTTTTTGTTCTTCAAACTGTACACAAAATGTATCAGTGAGGGCAGTAATGATTTACTGTAAATGTGTTCTTTGGTACATTAGTTAATTACATAAAAAATTATTTATCACAGTAACATTAGTATAAAAAAGTAGGGTTAAGTTTCATCAACAGTCAACAGTAGAAAAAGAAGACCCAGATAAGTACTGTATTTCTTGTTTTTCATGAGCATTCTTTATCTATTATTATGAAAGTAGCTAACATGTAAAATTAGAATCTTATTAGGCTAGATTTGGTAATTAAATACATATAAAAATAATGGTAAATATTTTTCATGAGGGTAACATAAGCTACACAACTTGTGTTGCAGGATTATGAGTTAGACATGATTCAAAAGGCAATAAAACAATAAAATTAAGTATAAATAGATATATACTTTTAAAAGCTTTAAGTTATTTAGGATAAACAATTGTGGTTTCCTCTTACAGTTTGCAGTGATTCCAAAAAGAAAAAAGTGTAACTTAGAATTATTTTGTAATTTTTTATGGTGATTACAAAGTTGGTCAAATTGACCGACCCTGTATAGAGTTATAGTATAGAAAATAACAGATAAAATATAAAGTTTTACTGAAAAAACTTAGGATTTATTTAATAAGTTTTAGGGATTATGCAAACAAATTTTGAAAATTTTCAGAGATAGAAAAGTACTTTTAATTTTAACATGAAAATTACTTTGCACTTGAAGCAGTCAACACTGTGACACCATATAATAATAGACAATGTTTTAGTAAGAGACTTTATTAAAAAATCTGATTTTTTTATGTACAAGGTACTTTTATTAAAGTTTACTGAAAGCATGCCAAATCTTGTTAGGATTCATTAATTACTATTACTTTCAGAGTTATAGTATGTATACCACCATAGGTACATGATGGTAAAATACACAAGTCCATTGCAATAGAGTTAATATTTTGTTAGTTTGTAAAAGCATCAGGAACAACCTGAATATCAGGAGAAAGTGAGAGAAATAAGGATTTAAGTACTAAATCATTTAATATAACACTAGCAGAAAATAGTTCGAGATCTAAAAAACAAAAGATACCTAAGAAAAATAAGAACAGCAGAAGCTTCTGCAGGATTATGGCTAGCAAATTCTGCTCTGTAGACCTTGAAAGTAAATATGCCTGAGCAAAAAATCAATTTTGTTCAAAATCATGAAAAAATGATGGCTGTTAAATGAATTGAGTGTCCATAAGATTGTGAAACCCACCACAGACACCAGCAGTCAGTTAAGCAATAACGTCTTGTATATGTTGATCAATAAAGGATGACAATGCCACTACAGGAACACCCTACAGACAGACTATGTGAGTAAGACCTCTAATGTTGTAGAAGTCCAAATATTGTTGAAAATATCTGTACCAGAATGAACACTGACATTCAAATTCACTGTAACAAAGTTAACCATCAACAAGAAAACCCAATTTCTAATGAGAAAGCAGAACTTATGTAATATCCCATAACACATGCACAACTAGAAATATGTTTTTTGACATACCCCATCTAAATGTCCATCTCGAGTTTCTTGTAACACTTTTACTTCTTCAGGTTTTAGCTGAAAGGTGTCCAAGAATGCCTGGACTACTTCTTGTCTCATCTGAATTCTGTGGCTAAAGAAAATTAAAGATCAATTCAGTGTCTGTGTATGATAAATGATACTACATGAAATTACAGATACATATGTAATAAATGCAAGTACCTCTCTACACTGAAACAGAAGTCTTTAAACTGTAATAACTCTCAAATTATTAATTAGTAATAACCTACATATATAATGTTTAGTAAGCTGTTTATCCACACTTCATATAAATTATTAGAAATTTATTACAAGTTAAGAAGTTTCCAAAGCAAAAACTTAAGTGCCCTTCATTGCAGTTAAAAGGAAAATTTAACCAGGAGTTATGTATTCAATGAACATCTTTGAACACTTGCACACCAAACATTAACCCTATGTGTACCCAGGGAGGGGGGGGGGGGTCCCAAGTGTGCATGTCACAACCATTCTACAAAGTTACGTTCAAACTTTAACTAAACTACTTTATTATTAATTCTATTGACACAGGCTGGGTCATTTTGATTGACCATTCAACCAGATGTCACCACCAGATAACCAGGAAATTATCCATAATACAACTTTAAATGCAGTAAGTGTATCTTCACAAAACTTGACAAGCTTTTAATAACAGTTACAAATATTTGTACACAATAAAATCAGATTTTTTTAAATAAGCATTTTTACTAGTTTTTATCCTTGAATATATGAAGTCAGAGTGTTTACTCAAATTCTGACTAGTCTGATCTTTTTTGATCTCATAGTTTTCAAAGTTCATTTGCATAATCTATGAAGCCTCCTCAAACTAAGATATTATCTGTTATTTTCTAATGCTGCATGGACTTGATCAATTTGACCGACCTTCTAACCACAACAAAAGAATTACAAAATAAATCTAAATTACCCCCTTTTTCTTTCTAGAATGAAAGCAGATTGTAACATAATATCACAATTATTTATCCTAAACAGCTTAAGGCTTGTAACAGCTTTCACCTGTTTTTATTTCATTGCTCTTTGAGCTGTTTATAATCCAGCAATACAAGCTGTAAGTTATATGGCTAACATGTAGCTCAACTTAAAGCATTGAATGATATAACATATGAATTATTTATGAGTTAGTCATGACCATGCCTCATGGAGAAATCTTCTTTATATTTTTCACTATCTAACTTAATAAGCTTCTAATTTTTACATTCTAGTTACTTTTATAATAATAATAAATAAAAATATACATAAAAACAAGAAATTTAGTACTTATGTTTGGCTTCTTGTTTTTCTAATGTCAGCCAGCTGGTGAAACTTAACATAATGTTTTGGAACAACATGGGACCTATTGGTCCATCTCAGCTATTCCATTCTCTAAACTAAACTAAAACTATTAATAAACAAATTTAAAAAAGTCTTAAAGACAACCCTTATCATTCATATACTCATCAAGCTTTCTCTTAAACTCACTTAAATTTACTGTCTCCACATCTGAAGACAACCCATTCCAAAGGTCAACCGCCCCTTCAGAAAAATTAAAATGTCTTATCTACTTAAGCCTAAATGTTTTGTAATGATGGCACCAATACATTAAATAATCTTTTTGTTGCAAATATACACTATAGAAAATAAAATAATAACATGCACAAAGCCCCTTAGCTGCTTGATCTGAACTCAGCAATAACAACTTTCAATCTATAGACTAACTAAAAATTTCTACTGAGAATAATGTATCATTATATCTTATTCTGAAAATTAAAATGTGTCTTTTTATTGGTTATAAATGATGTAATAGAAACCATTAGATAGATTTACTGGCAACTCAACAGGACATGATATGAGGGCATGGAAAGTGAGTCTCACTTTCTGGTTTATATCTCTGTAAACAAAGAAGATTGAAGGATATAAACATTTTAATAACATCTCTACTATAAGTAGTAGTTTATGTTAAACTCAAGACATCACAGAGGGGTGATGAAAAAAAAAGTTTACACTATACGTGGGTATTTACATTAGTTCTCAATCTTCACTTCTTGGTATGGCGTGACACTTTCTTCACTCAGAATCGACTATAGTTGAAGTTGTTTTCTAACCCTACATTACATTTTTTATTGGATTACTTACAACCAATAGAAAGAGCATATTGTGCACTTGATCATGTGTTTTGTTTTAGCTATAAAAGTCACTTACTTGATCCTAAAAGTAATGACATTTTTTTTACTTATTCATAGGGTAGTTAGAAAACAAGATAAATTATTCTCATTTACTTGAGTTTGTAACTTACAACCTATTTGGAGAATAATGTGTTTTTGGTTTTATAAAATTCGTTTTCAAAAGTTACGTTAATTATTTTTACAAAAAAAAGGCTTTGGAAAGTAGTTCAATGACTGTATACTGACTTAGAGCAAACAAGTTCTAAATTTCTTAATTTTCTATGTATTTGTTTTATTTATTGATGTACGTTTAATAAAAGTAACTAAAATGTAGGAATCAAAATTTTATTAGGCTAGATAAAAAAAATACCACAAATAAATAATTTTGTATCTTAAGTAACATATGAGGAACATAGATTGTTAGTAGTACTGCATGATGGAACTTGAAACTGTTGACCCTAAACTCATTATTCATATATTTATTGTTTGCTTTTTATTTCATTTTTTTCAATTTTTGTTAGATATGATTTTGCTACAGTTGCTGTTATGATAAAAAATAAGAGATATAAAGTTTCACCAAAAAAACAACTGATGAATTTATTTACAAGATTCTATAGAAGTTAGGCAAATGAAATATGAAAACCCTAAAGTGACAGCATGAAAACCATTTTTCTTTCAGATTGACTGAGTAAAGGCTTCATAAATTCACAGACAAATCTTTCGTAAAAATATCAAAAGAATCCGATTTTGTGTGTACAACAGACTTGCAATGTTTACCAAAAGCTTACTAAAGTTCTTGAAGATACATGGAGCAAATTCAGAATAATAGTAAACATTAATTCTTCAATAGGGGTTTGGTCCAATGGATCAACCCTGTGCACACAGGGTTAAACAGACAATACAAAGAAGGGATGAAGGAAGGTTATGTAAATAAATAATGGAACTTTTAATGGTTCAAATAAAAAAGTGATACTTTACCATCTTTTACATATACTAGCTGCAGAGCTATGGTATAAAAGACAATTTAATATAGTGTCCCTTTTCCTTCTTTCTTTTGTTATTAAATCACTAATGACCTCATTAAATGCTAATTGCATACTCTACTTTGTGGAAGGTAATAATTGACTCATTTAACTGATTAAGTACTTATATCTTTAAATTCAAAACCAAAAGTTTATAAAAAAATTGGAAATGTGCCCTATTTCAACATCTTTTATTATCTCCCTTCTCGGGTTAAAGTCCTAAAACAAAATATCCCATCTACATCATCAGATAATTTCCAGTTAATATATCAAAAACTAGAGAAATTGAGTCAGCCAACTTTGTGAGATGGACGATTACACTCAAACTCATAAATGATTGTGTTTATAGTAAGATTATAACACATGGTATTTGTTTGAAGTCTCCTCATGGGTCAGCTGTAAGTTTACAGAATTCCTTTTTCACAATGTATAGTTCAATGATATTTAAACAAACCAACTATATTATTGTGATCTTTTATTTATAAATTACCTCTCTGACTGCAATTTAGTTGTCTGACTTATAAGGCCATGAGTCTGGGACTTAGTTGCCTGTGTAAGAAAATCAGAAATGAAAAGTGTTTTAAAAAGCATCTATAAATATATATATGAAAGAAAAAATCAACTGTAAACCATTAATATTAGGAATTCAACAATACTTTAAATAAGATTTTTTTTCCTGGATACTATGAGAGCAAATATCTTTACTGGAGACTTTTTTTTTTTATTATAATTAAAAATTAAAATGCAAAGATATCATAGCCTATTATAATATTAATATCACTCTTACAAATACTTGAGTTTTACCATTCAGTTGATTATAATTTTGTAATACAGAATATGTCGGAAACTTTGCTAATCAAAAACAACAAAAAAGACAGAAAAAATTTTTCAAAATTAACATTGTTAAAAGTTGGTATTAAATTACATGACACCCTACACAAATACTCATTATATCACCTTTCAACATATAAACAAACCTGTAATCGATCGGTCATATCTTGACAACATACATTCATAGCTTGGACATCATCACACACAGCATCTAATGCCTGAAATAAAATAAGTTATGTCAATTAAGTCTATTACCATTGATGTTGTTAACAGGAAAACTAAACAAGCTTACCATTTGTTAAAAAAAAGGAAATTAAAATTGTAAATCATATCTTCAAAATTAGTAAACTCACATAAATGAGTGTTCCTAATGTAGAAAGTCTATGAAAACCTCATTGTGGAAATTCATGTTATTTTAAAATATTTTAAACATTTAGAATATTACATATACCAGATATTTCCACACATTTTAGTGCTGACCTCATTTAAGGTGCCCCAAACCTATGTGACCCCATCTGCTTGCAAATGTACTTCAATTGGATCATTCTCTCTTTTCACTACATACAATACACTAAACTTATAAACTCTCATAATCTGAGGTCACCCCAAATTTGAGTTTAACAATACAATAAAAATCAAATTACCAATAGACAGATTAAAGAACAGAATTAACAAGTATATACTTTTAGATAAACTCAGTGTTTTAGTAATAAGTATTTTAAATAAAATTTAAAAAAAATTGCAAAGGAAGTAGCTTGCAAATCTAGCTTATACAAATTGAAGTTTACTTAGTGAACGAGTCAAATTAAACTGACAAAAGTTATTTGATATACATAACGTTTAACATGCATTTTTAGCTTTGTGTAAAGTTAACAGTAATTGAGCTGCTTACATTCTTCATGATTGTTTTAGTAAAAAATGAATATATTTCAGATTAACAACCAATCACTTAAACATATTTGTTCCACAGATGTCATACAAATGGTGGTAATTTAATACATTTACAACCAAAATGAGAAAATGATTTTGTAAACTATAACTATTTTTCTTTACTTGACTAAACTGAATTTAGGGATGGAGAAAAATCTGTTTAAAACCTGCAATATAAATTTAATATTATATTATTATTTATATTATATTATATTAAAATATAACTTTAATTATATTTTCATGAAAAAAATTGTCTTAATATACAACTGAATATTCTTACAAAATGTCTAATTTAAGTTTCATTTAGTATGGAAATGGAGCATTTGAAAAACATAAATTTTGGCTTCAGGTAGGTAATTAAATTTTATTTTACATCAGATCCTTATCTTTCTGGATGACCAGATGTGTATCACTGATTTCCTTTGATTTTCCTTCTCACATTGTAGATACTTAATTAGATTGGATGAAACTTAGAAAAAAGTTAGAAACAATATCCAGTTTCAGCTTAAAAAATTAATATAATTTTGTTTAGTTTTTTATAATTTTTACACATATTTCCAAAATTTTGTTAAAAAGAACATTAAAATACTTACTTTTACCTTAAAATTTCAATTATATTTTCATATTGATCAGGAAGTTCCATTTTATAGATACACATATGAAATCAGTTTCAATTTGACGATATTCATTAACATGCCTTTTTATACATTATTTTGCTAATTGCAGAAGTCATCATTTCTGGTTATAAACCTTTAAAAAAAAAGTAAAAGTGACCTATGACCTGGTCTGTTTCGATAGCATCAGGTCAAACAGGGCAACAATACCTTTGCTAAAACATTATTGGTTGAGATAAATTCATATCTGATAAATATAGTTTGTTTTCAATAAATAACAAGTCATTCTTACCTATGTTATTTGAATATGATAAATTTATCAATAATATTTAACAAATAAGGATTTGAGCCACACATGAGTCAGCTGAATATTTTGCCATCACCTTTCATAATTTCTAAACATAATGAGGTGTACTTGATGTTTTATCAGAAGAAAATTTCTAGATCTCTCAAACAATTGTAATTTAACTTGAAAACAGCATCTAAAGAACCCATAAAAAATTCCCAGGTTCACAGTTTATTCTTAAGTCTTCTAAACTACTCACTATATCCTGTTGTCACTGTCAGCATGATATCTATATGTATCTATATAATCACTTTCCCATAAAAACATAAATTACTTCTCATACTAACTTTCTTACTCTACAGCTTACAATCTGTTCCATCCAATGATATTCAAACTTTTGCATGTAGCAATTTACAAAGTTATATTTCATTAGCAGTACACATGTTCATAACTCACCTCTTTTACTTCCTGAAATGCAGAAAGAAATTCTTTGTTAACAGCTAAGCTTCGTTTCTCTATGTCACTACGAAGGTTTTGTCGAGCTCGAAGGGTATTCTCAGGGAAAAAAGTGGACAATGACTTGAGTGCATCTAAAGTTTCCTGAGATTTTGATATGACATAAGAAAAAAAACAAATTTAGAAAACCATACGATGGAAACAGTTTTTGATTTATCAAATGAAATCTACTGAATAAACTTGCATTTTAACTATTTCAGGTCTTGTGGAACAAAACTGAAATAATACAATTGTTTTTATAAAAGCATAAAAAGGCCTTATTTTAGTCAAGAAATACCTTTTATTTCTATAGTTTAAAGTTTTGAATCAATGACATTTATGTTTTAGGGTAAAATAGAATAAAAAAACACACAAACAATTTTTGCTAAAGTTGTAATTAATGAAACACATCAAAATGCTACTGTTAATTTGATGAATGAAAAACAACCAAATAATGCTACAACTTAGATTTTGACATCTATGGTGGGCAGAACACAAACAGCCCATTGTGTTGCTTTGATCTTAACAACAAAAATGCAATTGTAATATTTTAATTACTTGTATAGCTTGAATAATCCAAAATAGTAATAATTGGAAACTAATTCTGATTGGTTGATTATTTTATACTTTGTGACATTAAACAATTTAATGATAATTTTGATTAGTAGGTGATTAGAATAACTGGAAACACCAGTTGATTATTTGTGTAATATTCATAAATTTAACCATTAACCAATGTAAGCAATGCTCACAAGTGATCAGTTATATCAATTAATCACCCAGCTTTACTTGTAGGGAGCATAATTATAATATTTGTCCTAACATTGATAATAAAATTTAAGGCCCATTATCCACACATTCAACTCTATAATTTACAAAATATACATAACAAACTGAATAAAATCATTACAAAAATATATACAGATGTTTTTTACAACAATATTAATTAAAAAATTTAAAGAAAAATTACCAAACCTTTAACAACCTTTTATAACCAGATAAATCTCCTCTATTACTTTTAAGCTCAAGGAAAAACATTTCCAAAAATTTAGGATACTCCAAGTGTATTACATAGGAAAAGGAACAAAGACAGACAGATGATAGAAGCTAATAGGCCTACTGCAATCATCCCCAAATTCCATAAAAAAAAATTCCCTTCTTTCTGAAAACATTTTCTCACTAAGAAAAGAAATAAGGCTCTGAAATCTTAAATACACTCATTATTGTACATACATTTTTTGTCGTTGTTAAAGCTAGAAATTCATGGAATAATTTGCCTAATGATGTAACATGGTTATGCTGTTAGTTTGATTTATTTTAAGATTCTGTTGGGCATGTATACTGTTCGTAAGTTTAAGAGGCTACATTTAAATTTATTTAAAATTTGATTTTTTTTTTAATGTTTGTGTTTTATCATACTTGTTTTGCTCTCTAGGATCAGCAATAACACTAATAGACCAGATGACTTTCTGTTGCCATATCTTTTACATTCTGATATTGCTAGTAGCTTATCCATATACACTGTCCAATATATTGATATCATTCCTGCAGTAAAGAGACCAAAATTTCATACCATACTTTAAGACAGACTTCACTATTCTTAAACAAGGACATAGTAACCTTATTGTTTTCAAAGTTTAAAGTTATTTTAAACAGAACCTATAATATTTACTCTTTGAAGTACAAGTACGATAGCTTTCAGATTTTACATGTATTTATAATTGCACCTAAATACTTTTTACTCCCATAACTCCAATACTCTCATGCAAGAAGTATTTTCTAAATTACAACACACAAGTACTTAAATAAATATTAATTTAGATTAAAATTTGTCTTCCATATTTTAGTCAAATCATTACATTTGTCAAGGTCCTTTGAATATATAAAATCTTCTCAATATCATCAGCTCTTTCCCAGAATATTATTTCCATAACATACTACTTAACATAACAGTTGAGAGACAACATGGCCCCTTGCAGCTTTTTTATTAATTTCATCAAACACCCATATGCACATCCAGCCCCAACTCCCCATGTACTTATCAAGCCCTCTCTTGAACTGTACTAAATCTGTTGTGTTTACCATATCTGAAAGCAACATATTCCAAAGGCTGACCACCTTTGAAAAATAAAATTGCCTAGTTTGCAGACAACTTCAACTTTGCCAAATCTTAAATCTGTGTACCCTAGTCCTACCACTCCTAATGGTAAACACAAAAAAAAGATTATGTATTAGTCCTATCTATTCCCTTTATAATCACCTAAATCAGGTCCTCTCTAAGTTTCTGACCCTTTGTTACTCAGGAGAAAAAAATTAAAGTACCTTAACCTGTTCTTATATGATGCCCACTCTAACTCATGAAGAATTCTTTTAGCCTTCTTTTGGACCCTTTCCAACACTCAGTGTCCTCCTTACAGTAAGGAGCCCAAGACTGAACACACTTCTCTAAATGAGGCTTATCTAGAGATCTGTAAAAAGGAACAATCACCTCCATTGACAAACATTAAGTATTCCTGTAGATGCAATCTAAAATCACGTTTGGTTTCTAATTAGCAACAATACACTGCTTGGAAGGCTTAAGAGACAGAACAACCATTAAAACAATAATGTTAACATTTTCCTTACCTGTAAGTGTATTTCTGATAGATACTCACTTCTGCACGTAATTTAGCTATCTTGTGCAGCTTTTCTGTGCATATTGTCAAAAAGATTTGCAAGCTATTAGCCTTGTGAAAACTCCTGCCAAATTGCACATAACTTTGCACCACTGCATGATGATGTCATCACGCAGCAAAATTACTCCATCAAAATGATAGCAACACATTTCCATGCTCACTATCTTCCCTATGCATTTGCTCTCATGAATCTTCATTCTTCAATAAGGCAAGTAGGAAACTATGAACTGGAAGTGGGTAGGATGGGTGGGAAAGTGTGTGGAGGTGAGTATCTATTGGAAATACACTTTCATCTAAGGAAATTGAAAACTTCCAAAACAAATACTCACCTTCACACACAGTTTAGTTAGAACCCCATGATGAGTTGGTGGAGGGACTGGTGAAAATATTACCTAGATAAGCCCCCTTCAGAAAGTGTATAAAGGAAGCCCATGGGGTGTGACCCATGAAGGCAGGGGCTCCACTGGCATGTACATTGGATACTACCTCTTTTCTCATCCAGGGTATACTCTTTGCCTGAATAGGAAAAAAAGGGAGGCAAATAAGCCAGATTTGTATCACTTGGTTGGGAGGAATAAGTACATGGCCATCTAAATACTTGCAATAAAGATGTTAGACTGCCATTACATCTAGTGAGATTGGGGCTCATTCAGACTATAGCTTGTATGCCCACCTCCTTACAATCAAACTCAACAGGCCAAAACCAGCTATGGGAGAAGGGCATTTGTGATGAGTATCCATGCTCTCCTCCTCCTCTACAGTCAGTCTCTACAGGCCCCATTTCAGCTATAAGAGAGCACTGTATGAATTTGTTTCAGTATGGATACTTATCTACACCTCTACTTGACCAACAGTCTCTACGAGTCCCTTGCCAGCTGTGGGAGCAGAGTATATTTTTGATGTAGTTAGAACTGTTAATAGAGTCTTCACCTGAAATCTACTGAACAGACATTGGCTGCAGGAGGATGACTTGTGAGATATAGGTATTGAATGAATTGGTATAGTGAGTAGTATCACTGGTCCATATGTAGTTTTTGATGTACGATGTATCACAGATATACATGTGGGGTGACCCTCACTACACTCTCAGTGTCACCACAGTTCCACTTCTCACTGCAATGAAATTTCTTGTTATAGCCTCAGCAATTAGGTCCCAACTTGTGAGATTTTCTATGGTCCACCATCCCAGTGGCATTAGTCTCCTGTACTCCACTCAGTGAAGGGGAAGGACTGTCTTAGGGGAGAACTGGAGAATGTGCCA